TGAGAGAGTAATGGAGAGAGATGGAGAAAAAGTAAGAGAGAGATGAAGAGAATAAAAATTATGCATAATTTAAGGAAGGGTAGGTAAGTAAAAAAATTCAAATGTTATTTGAATTTTATACCTAATCACAAGATATTTTATTAAAATGAACTTAATAGAGTAAAATATTTATTTATACACTTCCTCTCAAATAAGTCTAAAAAAATGTACCTACACAAAAAAAAACGCATCATTTTTTACATCCCATTAGAAAGTTGTTTGGTTGGTGTATTATAAAATAGATTAAAGAGATATATTAGACTAAAATTCTTTAATTTGGGTTAATATTACATTTAGAAGCAAAAAATCTCTCCATATTATGTATAAGATTAATCAAACATGTATTCTATGAGGATAATTTTATTATAATCCATCCTAGCCTATTATGTTGTCATTTTAGGATGTTATCTCTCATAAGCAATCATTGTTCACATCCTTTGTTTTTTATTTGGATAAAAATTACCTTTAAAATAATATGTCAATTTCCTAAAATGGACAACCTATAGAAGCGCACCTCATTCACCTAATTAGTGGTTAAAACATCTCCAACAGAACATGTAAAACTCTCAAATAGCTAAAATTTAGCTATTTAAAGACAAAAAAAATGTACCGATAGAAAATGTTTAGAGTACAGTGAAGTCATATCTTTATGTTAGCAAATTATGTCAGATTTTTAGGTNAAAACATCTCCAACAGAACATGTAAAACTCTCAAATAGCTAAAATTTAGCTATTTAAAGACAAAAAAAATGTACCAATAGAAAATGTTTAGAGTACAGTGAAGTCATATCTTTATGTTAGCAAATTATGTTAGATTTTTAGGTCCCAATAACAATACTCTTTTTATCATTATTGTGGTAATTATTTTTACTATTTTTTTAGTACCACAATATATATATCTATACTATTATAAAATGTCAACAAAAGTGAAAAAATTTTGATTGACAATTATATCCTTATCTATACTACTATAAAATGTCAACAAAAGTGAAAAAATTTTGATTTNTTTAGTACCACAATATATATATCTATACTATTATAAAATGTCAACAAAAGTGAAAAATTTTTGATTGACAATTATGTCCTTATCTATACTACTATAAAATGTCAACAAAAGTGAAAAAATTTTGATTTACAATTATGTCCTTATAAAAAAATTAAAGTCAACAGTATCCTTATGTATTTAATTATCTATACCCTACTTAATTGCTCTAATAATTTCATATATTTTAGTATTTTTACTTCCTAAAAAATTGATAGCACCGTCAATTAATAATAGTAATAGATAAGCATTGAGTTACTGGATATTACATTATCAATTAGAACTCTATTGAGCTTCCATCTTCCAATTGGAACACATCCTTTTCTCTCTCTATCTCTCTAGCTTTCACACAAATTGTTTGTGTTGCCNTGGAACACATCCTTTTCTCTCTCTATCTCTCTAGCTTTCACACGAATTGTTTGTGTTGCANATTAGAACTCTATTGAGCTTCCATCTTCCAATTGGAACACATCCTTTTCTCTCTCTATCTCTCTAGCTTTCACACAAATTGTTTGTGTTGCCCTACATCAACAAGTATCAATTATTTTTCTTCCCCATAACAATTCTTTTTGGCTTGTGCACATTGTCTGTTAATTGGATTGATTAGATTGATCTTATGATTTTGGATGTAGTGCTTTTACTTGGATTTGTCCACTTAATTGTATTCATCTTCTTTTTGAAACCCAAATCTACCTATTTCTCTAAGTACTTCACACATATCTCGAAACTTGAAGCAGCAGTGAAGTTAAAAAACTCACTCTACTACATGCTCATGTCTCTTTTTGCTACTTATTTCTATGAATTTTGTTTAAGTTATGATTTTTTTTCTTATTATACATGTACATGGCCCCTCTGAAATGCANTATTTCTCTAAGTACTTCACACATATCTCGAAACTTGAAGCAGCAGTGAAGTTAAAAAACTCGCTCTACTACATGCTCATGTCTCTTTTTGCTACTTATTTCTATGAATTTTGTTTAAGTTATGATTTTTTTCTTATTATACATGTACATGGCCCCTCTGAAATGCGAGTACGCTCCCATAATAAACACACATAACTCCTTATGCAAAAATTTTATTTGAGGTACTCTTTAAGAACTCTGTAATATGTATTCATGACTTTGATAGGTTTTCATTTAACTGAAAATCAAGTATTTTTTTAGTGTTAAACTCTTTAATAATGTTGTTTTGTGGGGTTCCTAGCTATTCAATTCATGTCCAGTTAGATAAATCTAAAGTTGTAGATATATGTACCATGTACATTTGAATAGATTTATGTATACACCTCCAAGTTGCGGTTAGAGTCCTAAGCACGGGTACTACTTGAAGGATTTTGGATTTTTCATGTGAACTCATTATGCCATCACAATTAAATCATTGATTAACTTAATTATATTTCAAATTATTTTAAACAAATAAGGGCAAAAGAGGGTTGGCACTGTGCTGCTTTGCTAGTTCCAGATATGTTGTTTAACATGGGAGTCCGAGTAGCAACTCGATACTATCTACCCAAGTACATGTTTTAGGTCCAATTTGTTACAACTCATCATCGTTAAGAGACATGTCCACACATGGCCTTAGNTTATGCCATCACAATTAAATCATTGATTAACTTAATTATATTTCAAATTATTTTAAAAAAATAAGGGCAAAAGAGGGTTGGCACTGTGCTGCTTTGCTAGTTCCTGATATGTTGTTTAACATGGGAGTCCGAGTAGCAACTCGATACTATCTACCCAAGTACATGTTTTAGGTCCAATTTGTTACAGCTCATCATCGTTAAGAGACATGTCCACACATGGCCTTAGTTACCTAGGAATTATTTGAAACTTTGAAGGATATCCAATTCTTTCATTTTCTAAGCTGAAAACAACAAGTTTAGGCATCAAAGCAACAATTTTGGCCATTTTTTAAGGCTTTTAAGAGTGCATAATAGAAGGTGACTTTTTATGTTTATAGGATTGGTGCAAAACAATCTCTTGAATCCTGCTCCTATGCTAATTTTGTGAAGGAAAAATTCTTGATTCTAAACTCATCGCTTCATTGTTAGTATGCCTCTTAACAATAACATTCATAAACGTCTTATAATTTGGCTTGCATTCTCATGGTTCTTCCTTATCAAACAAAAGGCTATGCAAATTTTTTTATTGTGCTTTGTGGATAAGGAATATGTTTGCCTTTTTCACTCAATGTTTGTTAAGTTCAAAAACGAACAACAACTGATTGAGGCTAACAAACTGATTCAAGATGATTTAATTTATGACAATTTCAAGCNTTAACAATAACATTCATAAACGTCTTATAATTTGGCTTGCATTCTCATGGTTCTTCCTTATCAAACAAAAGGCTATGCAAAATTTTTTATTGTGCTTTGTGGATAAGGAATATGTTTGCCTTTTTCACTCAATGTTTGTTAAGTTCAAAAACGAACAGCAACTGATTGAGGCTAACAAACTGATTCAAGATGATTTAATTTATGACAATTTCAAGTTGCCCATTGCTTTATTGAGTTATATTATATGGAAGTAAAATAGAAATTCTATAACNGATTTAATTTATGACAATTTCAAGTTGCCCATTGCTTTATTGAGTTATATTATATGGAAGTAAAATAGAAATTCTATAACTTTATTTCCCCATCACCTAGGGTTGTAGAAAGTGTAAAGGTTAGATAGCGAAATACACTTACCTCACACACAGTTTAAGGTGGAACAAATTATAAAAATTCAGTGTGTGTCAAAGAAAAGTGATAATAAGAGTCCTCTCAGAGTGGAGGTGTTCTCTGCCTATGCAGTTGTCTTCTTTCTTAGGCTTTCCTAACGGAAGTTTCTTTTAGCCTGTGAATGTTATTAGTTATTAGGATCCTTAGTGTCACTCCCTCCTTTATTCTGATTATCTACCTTCGTTCATATTAGTCATTATCTTCTTTCTATTTCATCTTATTTAGTTTGGTTTTATGAGATGTGTTTGTTGCAGGTTTTAAATTTAGTTTGTCGGATATGCATGCATTTTGCTATATTGAACAGTCTCTAGGCATCCCAGTTTGGGGGTACTTCTTCGGTGCATGATGGAGGATGAAATGGAGAGATTATGGTCCAATTTCAAGCTTTCTGAGGAGGAGCAGTTAGACCTAAATATTGGTAGTCAAGTAGATGAAGTTCTAGAGGAGAGAGGAAAATTTTGCTTGGTGGGTAGGCTTCATACAAGTAGACCTTATAATCGAACTGCTTTTAAAAGCACAATGAAGCAAGTATGGAATGTTCTGCATGTGGATTTTAGAGACGTTGGAAATAATCTATTTTTGATCCAATTCCACACGTTAATGGACAGGAAAAGGGTGCTTGAAGGGATGTCATGGTCTTTTGATAACCATCTTCTCCTACTCAAGGAATATGTGGGGAATATACCAACGTCCATGGTGATCTTCAAACAATGCCCATTCTGGGTTCAAGTGTACAATCTACCATTCAATTGTATGAATCAAGGAACCAGAAGAATTATTGGGAATTGAGTTGGGGAATATATTGAGACTGATCATTGTCAAGATGGGGTTGGGTGGGGGAGATTTCTTCGGATCAGGATTTTGCTTGACGTAAATAAAGCACTTCTTCGGGGAATGTCCGTTTGAGGGACTGATGGAAAAAAGTTCACACTCCATTTTAGATATGAAAGGTTATCGAATGTATGTTATTTCTGTGGATGCTTTGGTCATGGGGAAAGGGATTGTTTAGTTCGACTGGTGTCTCAAGGTTCTAGTCATGGTCCTATGCAATATGGATCATGGTTAAGAATTGTGGGAGAGAAGGCGAAGAAGTTAGATTCACAGAAAAAAANTGTGGATGCTTTGGTCATGGGGAAAGGGATTGTTTAGTTCGACTGGTGTCTCAAGGTTCTAGTCATGGTCCTATGCAATATGGATCATGGTTAAGAATTGTGGGAGAGAAGGCGAAGAAGTTAGATTCACAGAAAAAAAAAGTATTACTGTAGCCCAGTTTTTCGGTGAACAGGGAACTAAGGTGGCCGGAGAGGTAGGGGAAGAACCGCCGATAGGTGGGTCCACGATTTTTTTGATTGATGATGAACCAAGAAATGGGGAGTTGGTGGGACACATCCCCATGATGCCAGGAGATATTGGTAAACTGAAAGTGGGTGAGGAAGAAACTGTTTATGGCGGGAGATGTGGGTCTACTATGGTTAAATCTGATAATTTGGTGGAGAACTTACTAACTAAGGCAATTCAGAGAAAGGATGGGCCTAAAAAATCAGTTGGGCTAGAATTAATGGTGACCCAAATATCATAAATGGGACAGGCGGACATGACCATGTCTTTGGTGGATAAGGAATATCCTAGCCCACATGTTTAGAAAACCCATTTACTATCTAAAGGGGATTTATCTAAGTCTAGGATCTGTGGGTCTCAGCCTCAGATTGAAATAAAGGACAACGAAGCACTCAAAGGGAAAGTAGTTTTGGTGGAAGGAAATCAAGGCAGTCAAAATCTGAAAACTTGGAAACGGAAAGCTAGAGATTTGACTGCTTCGAGTAAACCAAGGAAGAGTGCGACTGTGGGGGGGGCAAGAGAAAGTTAGTAAATGCAAAGGAACCCGTGGAGGATGTTGTGCAGTCGGCTTCGAAGAAGAGGGTTATTTTTTATGAGGTATGTTTTGGGGATGGGTCTCAAAATTCAACATTACAACGACAAAGTTTGGATTCTAGACCTGCCGATTGCCATGAAAAAATTAAGTTGGAACTGTTGAGGAATTGGACAATCTCAGACAGTTCGATTTCTTCACGAATTTATGAAGAGAGAAAGGCCTCATTTTGTTTTCTTGATGGAAACAAAATGTAAAGCTAATGGTATTGAAAGACTGAAAAGACGACTGAAGATGAATGGGATTTCAGTTGATTCGTTGGGGCTATCAAGGGGATTGGCTTTGTTATGGCAGAGTAATGTATATGTATCATTACAAAGTTTCTTCGGGGCACATATTGATGTAATTGTTGATGGAAATAATGAACACNGGGATTTCAGTTGATTCGTTGGGGCTATCAAGGGGATTGGCTTTGTTATGACAGAGTAATGTATATGTATCATTACAAAGTTTCTTCGGGGCACATATTGATGTAATTGTTGATGGAAATAATGAACACCACGGTTGGCGTNTTTTTTTGGTTTGTAGGTACGAGGTTTTCTAGGGCAGCCTCAGCTTGAAAGTGCTCTGGCAGGAATGGACCTTGTAATCATACCGGCTGGTGTTCCAAGGAAGCCAGGAATGACAAGGGATGACCTTTTCAACATCAATGCTGGAATTGTCAAGACACTGTGTGAAGGAATCGCAAAATGCTGCCCTAATGCGATTGTGAACCTTATTAGCAATCCGGTGAACTCTACAGTCCCAATTGCAGCTGAAGTTTTCAAGAAAGCTGGCACTTATGATCCAAAGAGGCTTTTGGGAGTCACAATGCTTGACGTTGTTAGAGCTAATACTTTTGTGGTATGCAATTATAAGTTGGTACTCCTAGTTTTTCTTCTGGTTACAAATAACTTGTCTGTACCCTCCCTTAAAATCGATAATGATGACCTATAGTCCAAAATTATTAACTCTTTGAAGTATATGATGGGAACACATGTGCCTTCCTATTCTATATGGATTCTTTTTGAGGTAAGTTCTATATAGGTTGTTATGCATAAAGTAAGTGTAACCATATCTTCCGCTCTCATAGGAGGATCCATATCTGTGGCCCCATACCCTGTTATGAAGTACTTTTGGCATGCAAAACCATTTACTTGTTAGTTCTAGGTGGACCTTTTGCAGTGTTAACTTCTTAATTTTCACGGGTCTTGAAGTCCTTGGATCCTACAACCATCTATTATGGTTCCTAACTCTCTCTAATTTATGAGCTATTGACTTGTGGCTATAGTGTTTGAGCAGAAAAACTGCAAAGAATCCCTATGTTTTTTTATCACAATAATTCTCGGTTATTTTGCTGTCATAGTGATGTATAACCTAAGGATTAAGTTCAAGGTTTTTGAACTTTCATGAGGTGATGACTCAACATATACTTGCTTAGGATTAAGTTCAAATTTTTTGAACTTCCATGAGGTGATGACACAACATATACTTGCTTAGATATGCCTCATGAATGCCTGATTAGCTTCAAAAATTGTGGGATTGCTTGATCATGTATTCTATGTTGCAGATGACAAAGTCATTACATATAGTGTTTTAAAGTCACCACTGATGTTAAATGTCTTTGCACCATCTTCTGCTGTTATCCTTACAGGCAGAAGTTCTGGGGCTTGATCCTAGGGAAGTTGATGTTCCGGTTGTTGGAGGTCATTCAGGAGTGACAATTTTGCCTCTGCTCTCACAGGTCTGACAAAGAATTCATATCAATTTATTAAAAAACTCACATTTAAAGCACTGCCTCCAATCACTTAGTTGTAATTTATAACAAATTTTAAGCAAGCAGCCAATATGGTGTCCCTCTGCAGGTTAAGCCTCCTTGCAGCTTCACACCAGAAGAAACGGAATACCTTACAAAACGCATTCAAGATGGTGGAACAGAAGTNAATTCAACATTACAACGACAAAGTTTGGATTCTAGACCTGCCGATTGCCATGAAAATAGTAAGTTGGAACTGTTGAGGAATTGGACAATCTCAGACAGTTCTATTTCTTCACGAATTTATGAAGAGAGAAAGGCCTCATATTGTTTTCTTGATGGAAACAAAATGTAAAGCTAATGGTATTGAAAGACTGAAAAGACGACTGAAGATGAATGGGATTTCAGTTGATTCGTTGGGGCTATCAAGGGGATTGGCTTTGTTATGGCAGAGTAATGTATATGTATCATTACAAAGTTTCTCCGGGGCACATATTGATGTAATTGTTGATGGAAATAATGAACACCACGGTTGGCGTTTAACTGGATTTTATGGGAACCCAGAGGTGTCTAGATGGTCGGAGTCCTGGTCTCTTTTGCGTTTGTTTCGGTCACATTGCGAGTTACCATGGATTTGTGCTGGTGATTTCAACGAAATTCTTACAAATAGTGAGAAGATGGGTAGGAGGGAGAAACCATATGGACAGATGAGAGACTTCAGAGATGCTTTGGATAGCTGTGCTTTAATAGACCTTGGTTATAAGGGATATCAATATACATGGTGCAACAATCGGTTGTATCCTCATACAGTATGGGAGAGATTGGACAGGGCTTGTGCTACCACTGATTAGATTGATCTATTTCTGAATGTTGGGGTGCGTCACATTTTTAGTAGGGCGTCGGATCATTATAAGGTTCTTATTGACACGGATGCAAGGAATCCAATGAATATAACTGCTAGACATTGGAGGAAATTCAGATTTGAGGTAGCTTGGGTCAAGAGAAGCGATTGCGAAGCTATGATTAAGAATGCATCGGAGCCTGGGATATCACAGGTGGGTGCGAAGGGGATCATTATGAATATTCAGAATTGTAGACTAGGATTACTCAAGTGGAAAAAAGAAAATGTTGGATTTGTCCATGCTAAAATTGACTTGTTGAAAAAGAATCTTGAACGTCTTCAAGAAGGAACAATTTCAACNGATGGTGTGCAACAACAATGTTCCAGAAATAAGAGGAAGAGAAATGCAATTTATACTCGGTGTTCCTCGTGTGCAGCAGCATGACAAATACCTAGGATTGCTATCTGTGGTGGGCAAGTCTAAGAAGGAAGTCTTTGCTAGTTTAAGGGAGTGGGTTTGGCAGAAGCTACAAGGATGGAAAGAGTGTCTATTATCAACGCGAGTTAAAGAAATACTAATTAAAGCAGTGGTCCAGTCAATTTCGACATATGCCATGGGATGTTTCAAGCTTCCTGAATATTTGTGCAATGATTTGGAGTCTTTAGCTTCCAATTTCTGGTGGGGTCAAAAGGAAAGGGAGAGGAAAATTCATTGGGTAAAGTGGGCTAATATGTGTAAGGGTAAAAATCAAGGCGGAATGGGTGTTAGGGACTTGAGAACATTCAACATGGCGATGTTAGCCAAACAAGCATGGAGGATCCATCACAATACGGAGACTCTTCTTCATAAGGTTTTGAAAGCGAAATATTTCCTGTCAACATCATTCATGGAGGCCAAATTGGGGTACAGGCCATCATACACATAGCGGAGTATTTTAGAGGCTAAAAAGTGATTGAAGCTGGATCAAGGTGGAGGATTGGTGATGGCTCCAAAATTAAAGTATGGCATGATAGGTGGATTCCAACACCCACTACTTTCAAAGTGGTGAGTCTTAGGCAAATACTACAAGAGGAGGCTACGATCAGCCAGCTCATTGATCCCCACACGCGAGGTTAGAAAACACAATTGATTGATGAGGTCTTTTTGGAGCATGAAGCTGCATTAATTAAGCGGATTCTGTTGAGTGTTTTTCCGATGGAAGATAAATTAATATGGCATTACAACAATAATGGTAGATTCTCTGTAAGGAATGCATATCATTTGGCTTATGGGGTTAATTTATTTTCGTTGGGAATGCCTACTGCAAGCTCCTCATCCAATCCTGATGGTAAGTGGAAGGCGCTATGGAGTCAGCGAGCTCCAAGTAAAGTTAAAATATTTGCTTGGTGAATGTTATTGGATGCTCTTCTGACAAATGAGAATTTATGCCGAAGGAGGATTCGTTCGGATTGTGTGTGTTGTGTATGTGGAGTGGAAAGTGAGTATATTTTACACATTTTAAAGGATTGTTTTTGGGCAAAGATGTCTTGGGAGGGCAGCCCATTGAGACACATGGTTCAGCGACCTGCAACCCATATTCAACACTGGTTTTGGAAGATCGCTCAGCAATTAAAGCCCCATTTATTTTCAATTTTTCTGCTGCAATCAGGTATGGTAGATTTTGTTCGGTGGTCTCCCCCAAGCTCAAGTACTTTCAAGATAAATTTTGATGGAGCAGTATTTACTTCTGAAGGGGTTGTGGGATTGGGTGTTATTATCAGGAATGAATTTGGGTTATTTATTGCGGGCATGTCAAAAAAAATATGTGTTGTATGATGCGCAAACAACAAATTGTATTGCTACAAGGGAGGCTTTGTTGTTTGCTAGACAAATGGATTGTAAGGAAATTATGTTAGAAGGGGATTCATCAACTGTGATGAAGATGATAGCTGACTCTCATGAGGATTTCTCTTCTTTAGGTTCTATTATTGCGGATATTAGGTGTCTTATTCATAATTTTAGTTCTTTTTCTATTTTTACTGTCCGTCGAACTGAGAACTGTGCTGCGCACAGTCTTGCTAGAAGGGCAAGATGCTATAAACAATTTCATGTGTGGGAGGATATGACACCTAAGTTTCTACTGTCAATTCTCTATTTTAAATTGCTCTATTTAATACAATATATCGTTTTTGTCAAAAAAAAAAATTATAAAAATTCAACCTGTTGTATTTGACAACACCAAAAATTACCAATTAAATCTTAGATATCTTTTTAAAGCGAAACACATCTAAAACATATTGATCATAAACGCGCTAAATGAGTTTCCTTAATAGTTTTGAAAAATTAGTTGAGGAATATTTAAATAAATTAGAGATTGATCAAAAAAAAATATTATGATTCACGTGTAACGCAAATATGTATCAACTAGAAATAATAAAAACATCCATAAAAATAATAAAATGTCGCTGATATCAATTTTTTTTTTGAAAAACGACTCCTTGGGTCCTAATAAATCCCAAATCGAAACGCATTGTTTTGACTCTCACCGAAACCCTTTCCCTCAGCAAAACCCTAAACCTCAACTTGGGAAAAAGCTAAGTGCTGTGAACTCTTCGAAGATGGCTGTAAGTCTCTCTCTCTCTCTCTTGTCTAAGATGTCTGTGTTTGTTCGACTTTCTCTTCTTGTGTGAGCTCTCTGGATTTGTTCCGTCTCTCCTTCTCTCTGGTTTTGTCTACGATGTCTGTGCTCGAATTTCAAGTTAACACATTGTTTAATTATTCAAATTTGCAATAAAATTTCATTTTTTTAGACAATATCTCTAATTGAGCATAATTGCCATAGTGTATGATAAACTTTATTTGTGAAAGTGTTTTCTGATCCATTTTGCTGAATTAATTTTTTATGAAAAAATACCCTTGTCTAGTCTTTGCAATTTGAAACTTTCAGTTCTATGATTGCAGACTGTACCAGTTAATCCTAAACCTTTCTTGAACAATTTGACTGGAAAGCCTGTCATGGTAAAACTCAAGTGGGGCATGGAGTACAAAGGTACTGCGCTATCAGAGGGGCCCTTTTCTCCCCCTTTTTCATTGATCTATTTCATTCTCTTTTCAATTTTGAATTGCCTAAATACTTTAAGTTACTTGAGTATCGAATACATGATTCCTACCTTCTCTTTTTCGATTTTCCTTTCAGGTTACCTTGTCTCTGTGGATTCTTACATGAACTTGCAGGTATCACTGTAAACTCTATTTTTGATAGATTTGCTTGTAGTAAGTTTTTGTTAGTACATGCATGCATAGGTGCTTATGCAAATGTCTGCAGTCGCGCCTTATTCTTCGTGGCCATGTCTGCCTTATGTCAATGACTTAATTTATGGCTCCTGAGCTACCTTGTTGAATAGCTTGCAGTTTAAGATTGTCTTAGCAGACTAGTAAACTTGAAGCATTTCCACATTGACGAATGTCTCTTCTATATTCATTTTAAATGCTCCGCATGTGTATGTATGTATGTATTTAACATTCTTTCTACACAATTCTTGTATTTTGCCAGTTTTTGAAATTGGGAATTGATTTATCAGCTATTTCCAACCTTTCTCAGCATTTGACCCGTGTTTATGATTTCCATTTTGTAACTAATGGGACTTATCTGCAGCTGGCTAATGCTGAAGAATATATTGATGGACAGTTCACTGGAAGTCTTGGAGAGATCTTGATCAGGTATTTCTCAATTTGTTTCTTTCTTGAAGTTTAGTATCCTAAGAATACTTTTGTCTTGTCATATCCTGAGAAAGATGTAGATTATGGTATTTGTATGTTTACGTCCTCATTTGGGTTATATGAATTGCTAGAGGTTTAAAATGTGTCAATGGACTTGCAGAATTACAAAGGCTTCTCAAGAAACGTAATTAATAAAGTATCTTTTTTTTTTGTCGTTTTTGGTTAGGTAAGAACGTCAGTATACCTTATTATACGCATAAACAGATGATGTGCATTACTTCAGTTGAAATAGCAGATTGCCTATTACATTTATTTGGCATCATCTTAGTTCAGTTTTAATAAAGGTTACCATGTAGAGTAGGTCCCTTCTGCACAGAAAGTCACTTCTACTTCATATGAACTGTTGACTCTGGTGCCTTAGTGATATAAGCACAGTGGTATCTAGCAGTGAGTACTATGAACTAATAGCTATGAGTATGGTGAATTACTTTGGTCAGGTGAGTGACTGCATCTTCTGTCTCTTGCATCTGCAGATGTAACAATGTTCTCTATCTTCGTGGGGTACCAGAGGATGAAGAAATAGAAGAAGCTGACCAAGACTAGGATGTGGATTTCGGCACAGCCTAGTCATTGCCCTCCAATCAAAATTCTGGTTTCTGTTTTATTTTTTTGCTATTGATCCTCAGAGTTATGTCGTATTTGTATCATTTCAAAAAGTATTGTGAGTTGATTGATGCACTTGCTGCCTCTGACATGTAAAAGGGCCTTACCCACTATTATTTCACTTGATTGAATGCCCTGCCAAGTATTATGGTGGAGTGGTTGTAGTTTGGTGTTTATAGTTAGGTCAGGATGGTTGGATGCTTTATAATGATGAAAACATTTCATGATGTCATACAACGTCTTTGGATTCAACTGGCCTGAAAGTGGATGTTATTAATGGTATCCTTTAAGGGTATAAGAAGAGCCATTCCAATTCTTCTTGTTATATGTGGACATTACTGGTTACAAATGGAGATGCAGCTTAACATTTTTTATTCAGATGAGTATATTTTTACTGCAATGGGTTTTGAAGTTAGACCCCTCTACTTTCTCAAGATGCCATGTCAGTATTTGACCAACTTGGACTACTTCATGTTGCTTATAAATGCAGAAAGGACGCAATTACGATTTTTTGGGCTGACTAAACAGACCCAAAATTTCTTTATCCTGGCATTGCCTTTTGAAAGATACCTAATTGAAGTTAACGGGCTTACTTACTCTAGTATCAGGGTGTCGGAATAAGCGGGTTCGAGGACCCTAATTCATAATAGATAGGCACAATAGAAGGTAGGGAATGGGCAGCTCTAAAAGACTGAAAACCTAGCTTGGGGGAAAGCCACAAAGAACCGATCAAGAGGAGCCTTGTTGTGTTTTGATGATCCGCTAGTCCGTCTTCTGCATTTTGTTGTTCCTAGCTTACTGGTACGATGTTATCTGGTCCCTGCTGTATACAGTTATGTCCCTTGCCAGGAGTAATTCTTTTCTACAAAGATATTTGCAGCCAAGCATAATTACGTCTACATGGTCAACTTGAATGAGGGATTGAATCTTCAAGTCTTTGCTCAATCTTGATCATTTCAAGAGATGAGTGGTGTACATTGATATAAGAATTTAATTCACCTCCCACTGCTTTCTTGGTACATTGTTTCGAATTCCCTATTTTTATCTTCTCACTGCAACTCTTTCTGTTTCTGTAAGGTTCCCTTGTGTGTAACAGTAACTTTTCATCCCTTATATGCGTTTTTGTACTACAATTTAATTGATTGTTTATTTAGATTAATAAAATTGTCCTCTCATGTTATGTGGCTTTTAAGGCCGTTCATCTTGAATATGACTTCAAAACTTAGCCACTTTAATAAGAAATCTGGTGTTCTGGGGTATAAATAGATGATTTGTGGCTTCTGTGGGTGTTACATTACGTTTGAAAAGAACTGAAATGAACATGTACCCTTTGGTGCCCTGCATTCCCTCTTTTCTTGGTTGCTCCTATTGAGTCCCTTGTATAATATACACTTTCTGTAAACATCTATGATCTTCATTTGGGTTTCAGGAAAAAGTTGAAATGTTCTAAAAGAAGCCATTCTGTCACTGTGTTTGCTGCCAAAGAAGATTACTACTTTTTTCCAATAATGAATGCTATGATCTTCCAGCGGAAAGTGGCTCCTTTTAAATGTTTATTTGTTTTGGAAGGTTTGAGCATAGTGAACCATGAAAATTGAGTATCATGCTCTGATTTCCTTTTTATATATATATATATATATAGCTGTAACATGAACATATTTTTTGTCTTTAAACTCCTGCTCTTATATCTTTATCTTTTCTGCCAATACAATGCTGTAACATGATGGATACCCTATGCATACTTTTTGTCTTAAACTCATGCTCCTATCTGTGTCTCTTCTGCCAATATATAGCTTTTACAGAATGGATATCCTGTGAATATATTTTTGTGTCTTAAACTCATGCACTTGTATCTATATATATTTTCCTCCAATGTAATGCTGTAACATGAAGGATACCCAATGCACTCATTTAAGATGACCTTTCTCAGATCTAAATATTATATTAGAAAAAGGAGAAATCAACATGGGATTGTTACAGTTTGGAGATGCCTCTCTGTTTGCTTAGAGAAACTAAATCCTTCCGCAAAATTTTGCCAGCAGCTGATCTTGGGATGGCATTGATGAAAGCGACTCTTCTAATTTTTTTGTATGGGGCTACCTGAGAGTTTAAACCTGGGAATTAGAGTTTTATCTTTTTGTGATAGTTGCTGAGGAGAGAGGATGGAGGGGCAAACACAAACCTGGCCAGCAACAAATTGAATAACTTGGACTTCAGTGAGTTCAGAACCAGCTGCTTTCACCACATATGCCATTGGTATCTGTCCTGCTTCTTCATCTTCAAGTCTGTAAGATTTTACTTTGTCAGATATATCTTCATGTGTACATTATACATTTACACATGCATTTACACACACACACATATATGTATATACTTAGTAGATAGATAGATAGATAGATAAATGGAGAGAGAGAATAAGAAGATGATGGATGGTTTAGCTAAGTACGGTATAACAGCTGCATCAAGAATCTGGGAATGAGTCAGAAGTTGTGCTTCCAGTTCTGCTGGTGCCACCTGCACTTGCATTCATAACAATTTGTTTGGTGGTTCACAGATATGATCTTAATCTCTCTGTCCAAATAACTTGAATATTACTGATATTACCTGATATCCATTGTGCTTGATAAGCTCCTTTATCCGATCAACGATGTATAGAAATCCATCTCCGTCGAAGTAACAAAGATCTCCAGTTTTCAGCCACCCATCTGGGTCAATGGTCGCAGTTGTCGCTTCCTCATTTCCCAAATACCCTTTCATTACGGCAGGGCTCTTCAACCACAACTCCCCTTCCCTATAAGGTGGTAATGCCACTCCAGTCTCAAAATCTACCACCTTAGCACTAAAGCTTGGAATCAACATTCCTGATGAGCCCAAACGAGCCTTAGCTTGTTCATTGGAAGGAAAGAATGTTGCTCCACCACTAGTCTCAGTTAACCCATAGCCTGGCCTTAGCTCAACCCATGGAAACTTCTCTCTGAACCCATCTGCCACCTCTTTGCTCAGTGGTGCTGCCCCCGAGCCCACCCTTCTCAGTGAGGACAGGTCATATCCACCTGTATTATACTTGACTAGGCCAAGTATCACTGGTGGAACTGCTGCAATATTATTAACCTTATGAGTTTGGATTGCTTTGAGCATGTCTTGGAAGTCAAATCTTGGCATCAGCACAGTGGTAATACCCGCACAAAACAATCCCAAGGCGAAAAATGCAAGACCGTAGATGTGGAACATGGGTATGAAGCAGAGGAACACATCATTTTGAGACGATGATATGTCCACGGACCATCTGAGTAGTGTCATGATAGATATGATGTTTCCATGTGTTAGTAGCACACCTTTGCTTTTTCCAGTAGTCCCTGAAGAGTATAAGATTGCTGCGGTATCAGACTGAGCTGGCCGGGCTTGTGGCACATTTAGTGGTTCACTGCTATCAATCAGCTCTTCAATGGAAAGTGCACTGTCATCTTTCGGACGTGAAGTGAGAAGCGTTGGCACTCCAGTAGGGAGTATTTTGTGTATCTCTTCCGGGGAAGCAATGGCAAGTTTGGCACCCGAGTCATGTACTTGCTTGGCGATTTCTGACTCGGTGTTGAGTGAGTTGGCTGTGGTAAGAACTGCTCCAACGGAGAGTACAGCGAGACACATAATTGGATATAAGAGTGAGTTTGGGGACAGGATGAAAACGACATCACCTTTCTGGACTCCAAGCCCATGGTACAAGCCAGAGGCAAGCTTGTTGATTGAGCGGTGCATCTCGGCATAAGTGATTCGGTGGTTAGTAGCCGAGTCAATAAGTGCAACTCGTGACTCGGCTTGGTCTGCTTGTGGGAATTGTGATAGCACAAATGTGGCTGTGTCAAGGTCAGGCCTAGTTGGGATTTGTTGATGTTTATCAAGTTGAAGGAGGGAGTGGTAGACTCCAGTCAGTGGATCAAAACCACCGCTCCTCTGATCTGGCACGCTTCGACGACCAACCGAGTCTTCTTCGACAATGGGAATCCACCCCTCTTCATTGGCCATACTGGAAAGAGTTAAGCTAAAGGTAACCAATTTTTTTGGTCTAAACGTGTGTGTGTGTGTGTGTGTGTTGTGATGTCAAATGTGCTTGGTTTCTGGGTTTTAAGCTTGTTGGGTGTCGGATTGTTCATGGTAGGCATAGTTAAATCCGTTAGTTAGGGGGAATTATTTAGTTTAATATATGAGATTAGGTGCTGGCAATGACGAAGTTATCAAGTGATGGGTTTTGTAATTATTAGAAGATTTTAGATTTGATGCATTGTTGCAAGTGTTTGTAATTGGAGATAGATATCATTTACACGTATATGCTCATCTTGTACTCCAGTGTATAAATGTTTCGAATGTATTTGCCGCCCAAGCATATTTAAATGAGTTCATATGCACTCAAGTAGATGTTGAGATGATTAGTTTAAGATTAGGAGCTTTTCAGGATTATATGAAACTTTGGATAGGTGCATATGGATGGGCTTGAGGATGTCGAATTTGGTCTTTTTAAGTTTAGTGATCATAGAATTAAGAGTTCAAATCAGTCGAGCCGAGCTCAGTAGTAAGTTCTTAAGTTTTTTTTTTTTTCATAATTAAAAAAGGAATATGAGCAAAAGAGAGTGTCCAGAAACCATTTCAACAAGTCATCGTTGGTGAAATCATGAGATTTCTGACCGTGTCCGTACTCCTCTCGAGAATGAACTTAACTAGGTTAGCATTGTAATCAATTACCAAATCCTAATGTGAATTTTAAGACTTGAATTTTCAACTTCAAGGTGAGAAGTTTGATCAGTATCTCACTAGATTACCCTACTCGGTGGTGTAAGTTGCTTAAGTTTGGTTGTTTGCAGTTTAAATGTGTTTTTTTTTAAAAAAGAAAATTCAAGTCTGACTCATTTATTTTATGAACCGACTTTGAACTGAACCAAAATAGTTCGACTCTATGTGGTCTCTAATCTGCTCATCTAAATTGCTCGTTATGCTGAGCTAAGCATAAGTTCCGAAAATTGACTGCTAGGTTCATTTGTCAATGAATTTTGGACGAGCCTCAGACAGGTTAATCTGGAGCACAAATAATTTGATTCATTTAAATCTCATTTTGGATGCATGTCTCAATGGTTAATGCCCCTTACAACCAACCGGCGGTGGGTAAGAACTAAGATTTTCTTGCCCAACACTTCGATTGAAGTCTCCATAATTACAACAACTCATTCAGGTTAAACTTATTCTTTAGCACTCATATAGCACATGATGGGATTTTAATTTTGGCCTTGATGTAAATGCAATTAGATCCCATGCAAATAATTGTTGATACTGAAAAATATTACTTCTTGACAGATATATGAAATGACCTATCTGTCTATCCATGTTTATAACCTTAAAAAAAAAAATACCCCTTGTAGATAAATTAGGTTTTTCCGAGTGATTAGCGAGTTGTCGGTCTCCAAGCTCAATCTCACTCGATCACAGCTATATAATTTTGTGATCTACAAAATTCCAGTCATTTTGACAGTAACAACCCACCCACCACAGAACGAAGTAAAAATTGAAACNAAAAAAAAAAATACCCCTTGTAGATAAATTAGGTGTTTCCGAGTGATTAGCGAGTTGTCGGTCTCCAAGCTCAATCTCACTCGATCACAGCCATATAATTTTGTGATCTACAAAATTACAGTCATTTTGACAGTAACAACCCACCCACCACAGAACGAAGTAAAAATTGAAACAAAAAACAATACACGAAAAAGGACAACTGAAAGAAATGCAGCCTCCAGCTTAGCATCCACAGGTTGATAACCAATTCCAAACTGAGTGGTCTTGGAGGATAATAAAACTCTCAACTTTTTGCCAGAATCCAGAAGGTTGATTCTGCAAATCATAAAAAACTTAAACCAACAAACTCGTCAATATTAGAAATTCCCATGAAATTTCATTTCGGCGACATTTCCATCAAATCAAAACAATAATCAGCATCTAATAAATCAACTTTATCATCATGTATTATGAGATGAGATCTCAAACAAGGTAAGATGTACCAAACCTATTANCTTTATCATCATGTATTATGAGATGAGATCTCAAACAAGGTAAGATGTACCAAACCTATTATGACAATAGAACCTTTCATAAATTCATTTCAATCACCTAACAAGAACCCTGACAACAAGAACAAACCCACTAAGGAATGGAGGGAATCAGCAGACCGTTGCAAATACTGAATGTCAAGCTTGCAGAGTGGCATAATAAAAAATTCAACATAATAANAAGAACAAACCCACTAAGGAATGGAGGGAATCAGCAGACCGTTGCAAATACTGAATGTCAAGCTTGCAGAGTGGCATAATAAAAAATTCAACATAATAAGAATCAATATAGTGAAATTTTTGCAATACGTCTTTATGTTTCACAGAATAAAAGGAGTCGATATCCACCAAGTGTGTGAATTTCAATCCAGCATACCTGATTTGAGTGTAATATAAGTTAACTAGCAGCCCTATCCTATTTGTGAACTTTACTTGGCACAAATACAGGTCCCAATCTTGAAGCTCATGGAAATAATCAGGACCCACATGAATATAAAGTAAAACCAACCCTGAGATATCGCCGGACCAGCCTTTCCAGTGAGCATGCTAACCATTGGCTCCAGAATGGCATCATTACCATCACCTCGTGACAGGTCAAAAGAGAGAACAACATTGAAATCATGCTTACCAATCGACCAGCCTGTCCCACTGCCACTCAAAGTTGTATTTCTTACTTGGACTATACCAGCAGTAACATGGACCGAACTGGAAGACTGAGAAGCAGAATTCAGATGAAGAGCTGCACCTTTTGTAGGGAACTCTGAAGCAAATACAGGTGGAGCAGGGATACTGCCCAGCATGCGATGAGCCTGTTTGGTGAATGGGTGCTGAAAATCTGCACCATGAGAAGGAACACAAAAATGACAAAGAGATGAGCATAAATGGTGAAGCAAACTTGATTAAAAAATGTACAGCTTACTACTGCTTGCTAAACAAATTCAAGAAGCAGATTTCTAGTGAGGCTAGCGGGAAGGGGCTGCTTAAGTGAAGTTAGTATCATTTACCTGATCCAATTTTTGTCAACTCTTGCTTTGAAGTGGAAGCAATGCTATTACTATGTCCTTCTGAGAGCTTTTGGCTCGAACAATCCACTTCCTGGGTTTCTCCATTCACCTGCTGATGCATAGCAACAAGTTGCATCACTTAATAAACAGGAGCGAAAGTGGTCAATATTAAAAATTGCAATTTACCTCCTGGGTGAGTGATGCTTGATCAGAAACAAGATTCTCATGTTCCATCACATTTGAAGAGTCAAAACCCATGAACTGCAACTTGTCACCATCTGCATCGAAATAGGTAAGGTACTCTTCAAGCATGTCATAAGCCACGGGATCTGCCTCAAGGGGAAGAGAAAGGTCATTAGTTTCCAGAAATGCTCCATCATCAAATTGAGGGTTATCACTGGCATCCAAGAATGGCTCATCAAGTAAGTAATCTACATCCACAGGATTCATGGTCTTGCTTGATTCACCAATGTGCTCTTGCTTCTCAGGTTTTGCATTCGTATCATATTGCACTGGCAATTCAAATAACTTCTGGTCATCAGGCTGTCCTAGACTGCAATGATCTAGATCCTCACCCACCAAGAGCTGTTGTGCATTATCAATAAACTGTGTTGATTGCTCAGCATAGTTGCTATTATCCCCAAAATAGAAGTTTGGCAGAAGGGTAGCATCTTCTGATGGAAAGTTTGTCCCAAGAATCTGGTAAGAAGCAGCTTTCTTCAGAATTTTAAAAATGGACATATTGGAAAATTACCAAAAAAAACACATCACTACACTTACAATGTACAAAAAGAAATTACAAAACAAAGAGAAAGTTTAAAGTGCAAGTAGCAAATGGTGCCAAATTTTACACACCAAAGATGATCTCACCCTACATGAGCAACTCATAACTGAAATTGCAAAATTCAATTTTTTAACAATGAATACATGTTTGGTGATCCCAGAACTGAGGGAATCTAGTACCTGAAAGGATACTTATCCTACTCAATTTTTGTATATGAGCACATGGAGATTTTGATCTCAGTGTAGATCTCACACCATAGGTAAACCATGAGTACACAACCCACAGAAAAGAAGCATAAACCAACAAGGTAAAAGTCAATCTTGCTTGTCATAGCAAACACCAAATCCCCTGCATCAGAAGTCTGATGCTAACAAAGACCATTGTTTCACTAGGGCTATGTAAGCCATTATGGAACTTTGTAGCTCTTGTTCTATACTTGATATGGCCTCCAACTAATGCATGAAGTAATCAAATCACAATTCATTTATTTTATACAGATAACTGCATGTACTAATGGCAATGTAGAGGGATTTTATGATCAGATTTAAAATATTCAACAATTCAAACCTTATCTGAATCAAAGTAACCTAATCATTTGTAAAAAAAAAAATCAAAAACTTAAAACCAAAAAAAAAAAAAATTCTCTTCATTGATGTTAATTATTTGATGTTGACTAGATCAATGGGGACTCCTGTTTAACATATAATTAGTCTTTTCCCCTTAAAAAGAGAGGGCTTCTCCATAACAAAAAATATTACTGAATAAGGAAGTTCATTTGAATGTCGTTATGGATCTTTTGTTTTGGACTTAAGAGCAAATCAAGTACGGCATGTAATCAGTCTACAACAAACTCCAATTCTTTCTTTATTTACAATTTTCTTGAGGTGATGGCATCAATGACCACCTCAGTAATATACTAGTGTTTTTGATAGAACCACCGGTAACAATTAGAAACCATCGTTTGGATCATAGAATTTCAACAAAAATCCATGTTGATTAGAAAGGATATTCTACTTGAATTGTTGGCTCTTCAACAGTCATTGGGTCGTCAACCATTCTTATTTTCATAATTCCCCATGCCAAGTAGTTTGATTGAAGAACTTCAAGCACTAAATCTAAATGAAATTATAGCCTGAAATGCCAAGAAGCTGGTTTAGCAGGATCAAGGAATGGTAAAATAAATTCAAAACCATGGGCTCGTATTGACACTTCTTTTTTAATCTGCATATTAGCACTTCTTTCATTAGAATGCAAACACCATCCAGCTGTGAAATAAGGAAATTGGTGGTGGATACAAAGATCTTCAAAACCACCAAGAATCCTCTAAATTCCTCAAGAAAGAATCAGGGAAAACAAAAGAATTAAGAGAATTCAAAAGCTTCAGGCTCTCTCTCTAAAAAGAAAAAAGGTCATCAGATGCACAATTACCCTACTAAGTCGCCACATGCGAATCAAAACAAAGGTTCATCCATTTAATCAGTCTTTGCTGGAAGGGTTATATCATCCATAGGACGATTACTAGCCAGACTGATCGGTTTAAAAAAAAAAAGCAATATAACAACATAAATCCAATATGTTCCCAAGCCCAAATAATTACGATATCAAAGCTAAAGCCCATATTGCATCAATTAGATGCTATCTCATTGCTCAAAGTTTATTAACAACACTTGAGCCTAACGAGATCGTTTGATACCACAAAAGCAAGTTCTCTCACCTTTCACACGTCTTCTTAGTCCACTACCATGAGTATAGAATGTGTCATATAATTAATATATTTCTAAAATCTTTCATAAGGTTGTAGAAACCAGTAAAAGTCTAAAAGAACATCAGCCATCAATTGCTAACTTGACCAATCAAGACTTTAAGTAATGTGTTCTTTTGTACTGCTCATTCTCCAAGTCTCATAAACATATTTAAGTAGGGGAAATTGAACAAGAATCATGGGATGAATTAAATCAAGAGTTAATCAAAGATCACCTCCATTCAAAATAGTTCAAAATTGATTCTCTTCCCATCATTCATATAAAATCACGGAATATTTCATTAAGTCTCGAGACAATGAGTTCGATTATAATTGAAAAATGAAAATGCGACAAGGGAAAGCTCCAACATACTAGAACAGGAATCAGAATGAGAGAAGAAAACAATGACAAGATGGAGCACCTAATTCAGCTTTAGGTAGATAAAATCATTAATTCAAGCACCCAAGATAATGTTATAAATTCCAAGCTCCGACAAACTAGAACAAGAACCAGAATGAGAGAAGAAACAATGAAAAGGTAGAGCACCTAATTCAGCTTTGGGTAGATAAAATCATTAATTCAAGCACCCAAGATAATGTTATAAATTCCAAGCTCCGATAAACTAGAACAGGAACCACAGTGTTTTGAAAAGCACGCCTAGGCAAGAAGCGACACAAAGCGAAGGTATCTCGCCTTGAGCACCCCAGGCAAAGCGAATGTGACTGAAGCAAGAAAAAAACGAGAAAAGCAAGCGCTTTTCGCTTAATCAAAAGGCAAAAAAACAAACGCCTTAGTCATGCGAGGCGAAGTTGTTTTATTTTTATTATAAACCGTTAGATTGGGCAATTGGAAAAAAAATTATAAGATACTGATACTAGGGGTGCAACTTGGGTTGGGCAACCCGATTTCAGCCCGAACCCAACCCGAAAAAATTAGGGTTTAGGCAAAAATTTTTAATACTTGGGTTGGACTTGGGTCAAAAACTCCAATCCGAATTCAATTTGGGTTGGACTCAGATTAAGGTCTCGGATTCACGGGTTCAACCCGAACCTGACAAATTAAAAAAAATTATATATATATATAAAGCATTAGCACTGATTTTTCATTTTTGTTCTATCGTTCTCTGTCTCTTTCGTTCATTTTTATTTTTGTTCTAGCATTATTACTGTTAAAAACTTGATCAAAGTTATTAGTTGTTAATTTATATGAATATTATGTAATATATGTATTAGGTTTAGAACAACAAATATATTTTGGATTCTACCCGAACTCAACCTGAATTGAACCCATAAAATAACCTGAAATCATTAACCTAAATTCATCCCAAGCCCGTCCGAATTAAACTCGGGCAGTGCTCAAGTTAAGTTCTTCAACCCGATGTAGAGTTAGGGTTAGGGTTAGGGTTAGGGTTAGGGTTGAAGATTATATACCTAAGGTTGGGCTAGGGTTGACTGTCCAACCTGCCCGAGTTGCACCCCTAACTGATACACTAAATTATCCCTTTGTCCCATAATATAGTCCTCAAATCCTAATTTTGCTCAAATTTCTAGACACAGACAGAGACGATCGCTGGCCAGAGTCGACAGAGACGATCGCTGGACAGAGTCGACAGACACGATCGCTGTTCCTTCCTCGCTGATTACATGTAAGTCTCTTCTTTTTCTTCTCTCTTCTATTTCTCTTTTTTTTTATCTCTTCTGGTTCTTTTTTTTTTTTTATTCTGCTCCTTTTTTTTTCATTTTGTTTCTGTTTTTTTTTTTTTGCTGATTCTACTTCTGTTTTGTTGTCCAGTCAATATAAAATTGTTTACAACTGTTATGAAATGTTATTCAGTACATGTGAATGTACTTCTGTTCTGCTCCTGTTATTCAGTACATATGAAATTGTTTACAATTGATTCTGCTCTTGTTCTGCTTCTGTTTTTTTTTTTTCTCATTCTATTTCTGTTTTTTTTTTTTTTGATTCTGTTGCTGTCCTGCTTCTGCTTCTGCTTCTATTTTGCTATCCAATCAATATGAAATTATTTACAACTGTTATGAAATGTTATTCAGTACATGTGAATATGCTCCTATTCTGCTTTTGTTATTCAGTACATATGAAATTGTTTACAATTGATTCTGCTCCTGTTCTGCTTCTGTTTTTTTTTCTCATTCTGCTTCTGTTGCTATCCTGATTCTACTTCTGTTATTCAGTACATGTGAATGTGTTTTGTTCCTTTGATTGTAGTGTGATAGTGTTTTAATTTAAATATTTATGATTTTACTTGCATTTAAATATTTAGTATATATAAAATTAGAAGTTAGATGTTTAGAATTAATTAAACTAAAATATTTACTTTTTTTTTAACTGTTCGCTTCGCTCCTCGCCTAGGCGTTAGGAGCCTTGATCGTTTCGGTTCGCTTTACGCCTTAAATAACACTGAGAAACTAGAATGAGAGAAGAAACAATGAAAAGGTAGAGAACCTAATTCAGCTTTAGGTAGATAAAATCATAAATTCAATCACCCAAATTAATGTTATAAATTCCAAGCTCTGACACACTAGAACAGAAAAAACACAAAAAAAAAAAAAGGAAAAAAAGGAGACAAAGTTTCTTTGCACCATCTTAAGTTGCATGAAATTGTAATCCAAGTTACAAAATGCTCACGATTCAAGAGGGCAAGTACTCATCAAAATTGACAACGAACTTTAAAACTCAAGGGATTGTTATTCTATTATTCTTTGCGGTTAAAAGCGTTGAGTTAGCATTGTTGACAATGAGTCAATGACATGACCCCCACTAAAGCCAGGATTATTAAAAAGATGAACAGAAAGCCTGGAAGCGAGGGTATCTCTCCATCAATTTTATGTACCATTCATAAAGTATTCATGCTAATATAACAAGGTGAAGGAATAGGAAGCCTATATTCTTTTGCACCAAAGTGAAGACTTGAATTCAAGAGCTGATAGATTTTTGAAGCCTATATTCTTTATGCATCGTATTTTGGGCATTAAATTTGTGTAAACATTTAAGACACCGTCTCTGTTAATTTCCTTTTAGTAAGCACGGGCACTTTTGTCAATCAATAGCCATAGTTTTGTCTAAGTGGTGATGCACATGTCATCTTTCTGAAAAGCATGCTTAAGGTTGCATTCTTAGACCTCGTTTATACATTGCCCAAATAATTTAACCAAGTTCTCATAGGTGGGTATATTTTCAATGGTAGGTCAAACAAAAAATCCTTCAAAAATCTTCTAAGAATTCATTAATAGGGTTCAGATGTAACGAAAAAAATTGCAACATGCATGACCAAGCTAAAACTGGATTTTGTTTTTTCGGTAAGCATATATCTGGAAACTCTTTAGCCCAGCATCTAATCTAGTTCTTAATTCATCCAGCTTCCCCACCTTTGCATTCCTTCACAGAATCCAGATTATTTTCACATAGTTCCCTTTCACAAAAAAAAAAACTGAAAAGTGAGTGCAGTTAACAGGCAGGCATCTTTAATTCTTTCCATTCGTCATTTTACTCTGCATGTTAATATCACTCCATGACTACTACATTAGTTAAACCATGGAAACAACTCCACAATATTCTGACAAGTGTATATGAGGAGCAAGGAAGGTACACATACTTATAGATACACACGTAGGGAGCACAAACCTGCTCAAGGTCATTTCCACCTAAGTACGCATCATCAGCAACTACCACTTCCTCTGCAGCCTCCTCCTTCGGGATCACATCCAACTCATCCTCCTCCCACTCCTCCTCAATAAATGGCGCCCCATACCGCTCCCCATTCTTCGGCCCCGAACCACTCTTTTGAAATACTCGGCACAGCACGAATGCATCCTTCCCAATCACAAAAAAATGAAAATTAGATCAAGAATCCAGGAAAACTAGCGACCATTAAGTAGTGATTACATTTTCAGCATAATAAACCAGTTATCAAAAATCTGAGTCTCTGACAGCATTTTGTGTTATTTAAATCCTATTACCAAAGACTCCTAGTTTTGTTAAACAGAAATCTTTTTTCTTTGTATTTGTATCATTTCCCACATTCAAAAGCAGACGTACAGTATACACAAATTGCACCATCTTTGACATTCATGTTTTATTTCACTCCTAAAACTCAAATATATCCTAGAGCAAAGAGAGGCAGCCCTCAGAAAACAGAAATATTAAATTATTAGACAATTGTACGAGCCCCACCTGAAGAATTCCAGCTTTCTCCAACTCCTCATCAATGAGCCTGTACTCATGCATGACCCAATTAGTCCTCTCGCCCCGTGGAGCCCGACCACTGTGGAAAACTAAAGTTTTCTTCATTCCCACAGTCTTCGACCTATGGTATACAGCACGATCCTTCCCCGTTGTCTTCCAATACCCTCTTTCAGTTGCACGGTTTGTCCTTGATCCATTTCCATATTTCTTATCAAGCACACTGAAAAAGTACCACTCCAAGTCCCTAGTCTTCAGCCTTGACTTACCTAAAACCCCACAATTCACCACATAACTCATCAAACTTCGTGATCCAAATTTCCGAAATTTACCCAGCAACTAATAAATTGAGCATCAGTCCCATACAAAGAAAGGACCGAGACTGCTTCACAGAGATGAACCAAAGGCTAATGATATACTGTAGGACTCGCAATAGCACCCAAAATTTAGAAACAAAAATCGGATTAACTCCCTCAATAATCGATCAAGATTCACAATTCCAAAGAGTGAACGAAAAACACATTTATACACACATTTCTGCCAAATCTACAAACATAAGAGTGTGCGTGTGTGAGTGCTCGCACGCTTGCGTGTGTATATAGATAGATGGGTCGATGGAGATATAGAAAAGAAAAGATGGGTAACCCCAACCTGCACAATTAACCTAATGATTCGATCGTAAAACTAGAGAGGGTTTTAGAGAGAGAAAAAGAAATACGTACACCTATGGAGAGAGAGAGAGAGAGAGAGAGAGAGAGAGAGAGAGATGACCTAAATATCCATAGTTCACCCAGTCATGAATACATTAAAAACCCGGAAAATCATTAGAGAGAGAGAGAGTTGTAGACCTGGGAGGTCCCAAGGCTCGGCTTTGTAGATGTCGATTTCGGAGATGGCGTCGACGCGGAAGGGTTTCCGACAGATCTTACGCCAGAGGTAGTAGCGAACCAGTTCTTCATCAGTTGGGTGGAATCGAAACCCAGGAGCAAGTGAAGTACTCGACGATGCCGAATCAACAGACATGGATCGATGCAAAAAATTTCTATGGTTTTTAGAGAGAGAAAATAGAGAATTTTAGAGAGAGAGAGAGAGAGAGGGTTGTGATTAGTGAACCTGTATCATGAGTTTAGCGGCCATTGGGTGTATCTATCTTTAGAGTCATCGACAAAGAAACAGCAAGCTTTTTATTAGGTCAATTCCGTAGTGATCTTTCGAGGAAGGAAGTTCGGAGAAGTTTCTATGTTACTGGTTGGTTACTTCGTAAGCATCACTGCCCAATACGTCACCAAATGCGGAAGCGGGTTTTGGAATGTGACCCCGGTGGTGGTACATGGTGATGGCGCCAAATAATCCATATGTTTTAACGGTTTAAAATTAACAAAAACTAATGGTTTGAAACACATGAGAAATATAAGAGATAAACTCTGAAACATTTTATATAATTATTAGTTATTACTTGTGCTCGAAACCACTCTTAACACAAAAAATTTACTAAGCAAATGAAAATTTAAGAAATTCTTAAATAAAAGAAATTAAAGAGTTGAAAGAAAAAAAAATCGTATCACATTAATACAATTCAAAAATTCTTATGAACTTAAATTAGCATCATTACAAAATTATCATGTCATAAATTTTTTCATAGCGACTCTTTTTTCTACCAAATAAGTGTTTATTTTTTCAACCTCTGNAAAAAAAATCGTATCACATTAATACAATTCAAAAATTCTTATGAACTTAAATTAGCACCATTACAAAATTATCATGTCATAAATTTTTTCATAGCGACTCTTTTTTCTACCAAATAAGTGTTTATTTTTTCAATCTCTAGGTAAATCTAATGAATAGGCTGTCTAATTTTAATAAGGAATATCATTGAGAACACACAATTAAATCATTAAATCCAATCAAATGAATTAACCACATTGAACTACAAATCAAATTTTCAAAAAATAAAAAAAAAAGTCCAACCAAACTAACATTGCCTAGCGGATCTATTTNATTCAGACAGAAATTTCACCTCAGTTGTCCCCCGTTTATTTTCTCAACAAATTATTTACCGTTGAATTTGTCAAGAACCTCTTATTTAGTGAGACCTTTAAACATTTATAAAATAGGGCTCGATAAATTTTTAGAGTCAAATAAAATTATTCAAAATAACAATTTTATTTGGATATAATTTATTCACTATAGTTATTAATTTGGTTGTGGGCCCACCAAACATTAGAATTTGATGTTAATCTGATGATTAAAATGAAATTACATAGTTAAGTCAAATTTTTATGTTCAAATAACATGATTCAAAAGTTATCTTATTTGAAACTAATTTACTGACTTAATTCATGTGATTGTTTGTGGGTCCCATCAATTATTAAAATTTAATATTAATTCAATAATTTCCATGAAATTACATCATTNTTGTAGCTACGAGGACAATTAATTTAAATTCTTTGCCGCTGTGACTTCTCAGATTCTATATAAATATTCACACGTTGTAATTAAACCAAATCAACAAAATTAAATTTTCACTATTTCAAAAAAAAATTGATTTAACTAATCTTTTGTCATTTCAGTGTTTATTTTACACTATTCAAGTATTCAAAAAAAAATATGAATATTAGAAAAGGAAAAAAATGTTATAATTGGTTTTGAAAATTTANTTGTAGCTACGAGGACAATTAATTTAAATTCTTTGCCGCTGTGACTTCTCAGATTCTGTATAAATATTCACACGTTGTAATTAAACCAAATCAACAAAATTAAATTTTCACCATTTCAAAAAAAAATTGATTTAACTAATCTTTTGTCATTTCAGTGTTTATTTTACACTATTCAAGTATTCAAAAAAAAATATGAATATTAGAAAAGGAAAAAAATGTTATAATTGGTTTTGAAAATTTATTTTTTTTGCAATTGGTTTCACTTATTTTTTTATTGATAATTAGTTTGACTTTGAATTTTTAGTGTTTTTTGGTACAATTGATATCATTTATTATTTTTTTTTATTGGTGATTAATATCACTTATTTTTTCTATTGATGATTAGCTTGGTTCTTATTTGTTTTTTTTTTTGTGTAATTGGTGTCACTTTTTTTTTTAATTGATGATTAGCTTGACTTTGAATTTTTTTTAATAAAGAAGTCCAATTAGGATCATCAAGATAAACAATGTTANATTTTTTTTGCAATTGGTTTCACTTATTTTTTTATTGATAATTAGTTTGACTTTGAATTTTTAGTGTTTTTTGGTACAATTGATATCATTTATTATTTTTTTTATTGGTGATTAATATCACTTATTTTTTCTATTGATGATTAGCTTGGTTCTTTTTTTTTTTTTTTTTTTTGTGTAATTGGTGTCACTTTTTTTTTTAATTGATGATTAGCTTGACTTTGAATTTTTTTTAATAAAGAAGTCCAATTAGGATCATCAAGATAAACAATGTTAGAAGAGAGAGAGAGAGAGAAAAAGTCTAAGAAAAGAGAGAATGTGTGTCTAAAAGAAATATGAAATAGAGAAAAAATTATATAAGAAATGGGAGAGTGTGTGTCTAAAAAAATATGCAATAGAGAGAGAGAATTATATGAGAGATGAAAGAGTATGTTTAAAATATCTAAGAGAGAGAGTTATATACGTATGAGAGTTATGTGTATGAAATAAAGAATAAAAGAGTTATATGAGATATGAGAGTCTTAGAGTTGTAAAAATAATGAAAGTCTAATTTTGATCGTTGGATAAAAAATTAGGAAATAATTTGAGCCGCGAAAAACACAAGACAAAGAAATTTAGCTACTTTATTATATAAATAGATAATTACGAATAATTAAGAAGAGAGAGGGGTATTATCTGTATTTTAAACATAGATTCCAAACTCTCTTAGACCAACTATAACTTTGCTCAATAAAATAACTAATCAAAATATATTTAAATATTAAATTCTCTATTTTATCTAATTACTTCAACTAATTTTAACTAACTTTTAATAATATAATTTAAAAATACCTAATTTTATTTCAGACCTAAACTTTAAATATCTCAATCCTAATTTTTTTTTTTGCTAGTTCTCATGCCTAATTTAAAAAAGCCAAAAAAATCCCAATTTGGCAAAGAACGCAAAGTGATTGAAGGGTGAGAGCAGTTTCCCCTACGGTGTGTGTCGTTGTGCAAAAATGGAGGAAGGAAGATATTCTTGGTAGGAAAGGAGGCAAAGCGGCCAAAAGGAGAGAGAGCCAAGCAGCAACTGGTGAGCAATTGGCCTCTCCAGANAAGATATTCTTGGTAGGAAAGGAGGCAAAGCGGCCAAAAGGAGAGAGAGCCAAGCAGCAACTGGTGAGCAATTGGCCTCTCCAGATTTGGCTAGGATGAAGACCTCCAACTATTTTGGCGAGAAGACTGGCTAGTGGGTTGAAGTACTAATTTTGTAATTTTGTTTGCCAAAATAGCTAAAAAAATTGAATATAGAACAAATTTGGAGTTGCTTTAAGAGATTGGGTCATATCATATCATTTCAAAATCATGCTCATTGAGTATTATATTAAAGTTTATTCAACCAATAATTAATTTATTAATTATTGATTATGGTCAAATTCGGATTCAGAATAGGTGGTATGTAATTTTGTTTAATTCGTGTGAAGTCAAATTTTAAGTGACTAAGTTATTGAATAGATCTAATTAATTTGATTTAATTGTAATTCCAAAATCTTAATATTAAGAGAAAGAATAACGTGTTGTAAAATTGACGAAATAATGTATAAAATTATATATAAAATAAGTCTTTTAATAACTTAATATTTCATTTGATCTTCAGTAATTTTGGCATGATTGTATGAAGACGTCAACCGTATTGCAAATTTTTCCTATTAAAGCGGGGTTTGTGGGGAAGGTGACGTATGCGCTTGCGTCAAAACCAAGAACATGACGTCAGTTTTGTGGACACAGCCACTGGCTCAGCCAGTGCCAAGTTGTTTATCAAGAACCATTCTTTTTACCAGTTCAGAACGTGTAAGCAAAGAAACCTAACCACTGAGTTGGTGGTCTAATGGCTTCTTGTGACCCGTTTAGGGTCCATATCTAACTCCGTGCTGTAAAGTTGGGATTGGACTATGATTCGAGTCGCTTTTGAAATTACTTACAATTTTTCATCGTTTAAGTCTTACTGGTGAACTTTTCTTGTGGGTTCGGATCTATTTAGTGGACTTTTCTTGTGAGTTCGAATTTTTATGATCACATTCAGACAGAAATTTCACCTCAGTTGTCCCCCGTTTATTTTCTCAACAAATTATTTGCCGTTGAATTTGTCAAGAACCTCTTATTTAGTGAGACCTTTAAACATTTACAAAATAGAGCTCGATAAATCTTTAGAGTCAAATAAAATTATTCAAAATAACAATTTTATTTGGATATAATTTATTCACTTAATTCACTATAGTTATTAATTTGGTTGTGGGCCCACCAAACATTAGAATTTGATGTTAATCTGATGATTAAAATAAAATTATATAGTTAAGTCAAATTTTTATGTTCAAATAACATGATTCAAAAGTTATTTTATTTGGAACTAATTTATTGACTTAATTCATTCGATTGTTTGTGGGTCCCATTAATTATTAAAATTTAATATTAATTCAATAATTTCAATGAAATTACNATTGACTTAATTCATTCGATTGTTTGTGGGTCCCATTAATTATTAAAATTTAATATTAATTCAATAATTTCAATGAAATTACAGATCAACACATTATTTTATATTTTTTAAGTTCAAATAACACATGACTCTATTTAAAATTGAGAAACCTAGACAGAAAAAGAAAAAAAATATCAAGTTAGTCCTACTTTATACTCTTAAGATTCATCAAGTCCTGTATATTTTTTCTTCAAAAATAATTCCTAATCTATTTTATATCCTATTTTACCCCTTATAGCTAGAAAATAATTTTGTTTTTAACTCTAAAACATATCACAACTTACTAAAAAACAAATTATATTCACTTTATTGCTTTTTTACCACTCGAAATGCGTATCAAGCTAGTAATCTGATTAAGTTTTCCACAAGTCTTAATTGCATAGTTTTATGATTTAATAAATTATTACTTATTTAAGGTAAATAGGACAATTGTTTTCATTGTTTAGAGAGGTAAAATAAGACTTCAAGTAGATTATTTATTTATTTGGAATTATTTATGAAAAAAATAGGACTTTTTAATGTTAATCAAGTTTTATAAGGCTTGATAGAAATTTGGTATGTAAAGTTGAACTTTTTGTTAATTTTCCCTTAAGACAACTAAAAAGGCAATGGTGTGTCTAGACAAAATTTCAAATCCAAAACATAGCCCCTATATGAACGTTAAGTAAGTCTTTGAAATGTAACAAAATTCGATTATCTAACATAAATTGATACAGAATTAGTAAGTTTAAGTTTGCTTTTAACGAATTTGAATAATAAACGAGTGGACCTGTTAAACCCTCTAATAAATGGATCATATTCGAGTGAATTGACTTAAATTGTTTGCAATCCAATATATAAAAATTTCCTCAAAAAACAACTAGGCCCCAATTTTTTTTTTTTTCAAATGGTGGATGGTTTGGTTCATGCTTTGGTTTGTGAACATGTTGTTCTTTATACTTAACTCTCTCTCTGGAGAACATGTTTTTTGAGCAGCAACTTTTCTAGCATCCAAACCACACATCAGGGACCCACTGCAAAAGCCCTCAACTTAAACATCCCTATTTGCTATGCCCTGCATAAACTTTACCATAAACTCCATCAGTAGCTGCCTGCAGTTCAAGTTTGCATTCAGGGAGTAACAAGAATGCGAAAAAATGGCAACCAATAACACAGCCATTTAGATTTTTAGGCAACTAAGATGGACACTGATAAAACTCCGAACAATTCACCATTACCATGAGCAAAATCCCGAATGCCAACTTTATTTGAATACACTGCTCTGAAAAAGATAGCACAGTCAATGGCTACTGATACATCCGTTCAGATTACAATGAAACAACTACAGAAATAGATTACATAGGCACCAAAAACAGCTAGACAGCTCAAATGGGCCCCGTTACTCATCTTCTTTGTTCAGAAGATTAATAAGCTTTTGTAGCATTTTTATCTGGCTGGGGCCAGAAGCTACAAAATACAAAACTAGGATACATGTGCCATGCATAGCTAGCTAGACACCCCGAACGTGCCTTCGCAAGTCCTCATTTTCCTTGTTCAAAAGATCAATCCGTGATTGAAGAACGTTGATCATGGCTTGGGCCCTCATCACTTCAATCTTCAATGTCTCCCTCTCCATTGAAACATTAAGGATCTCATTCTCTAAATTGCTGATAAATTTCAAATAGCCAGGAGGCACAGATTTCTCGAGGTTAGAAGAATCAAATGTAGGTGCGTTAACTGGAAGACTTTCTTTGGCTTCAATAGATTCTAGCAAAGGGAATTCCAAGAGTGCTGAGGAAAAATTCGTAGTGGTTGTTTTGACCGTCAGATCCTTACTTGTTGTAGTTGAATCTTCCGAGCCATTTGCATGGCTAGAGTTGGGATCATTATGCTTAGATTTTTTATCTGGGACTAAAGAGATGGGTTCTGGATCCTCTGACCTTTCTCTCTTACAAACAAATGGAAGATTATGGGAGCTACATGGAATTTCGTTATGATAAGGAGCCTTGCGCTGTAGAAATTAGCAAAACAGCATATTTAACACTTTGGGGTTGAAAGTGGACTTGAAGGACCTATAAGGAAAATAGTTTGTGGCACAAAAAACAAACTGGTATTCGTGTGCATATGCGTGCGTGTTGTCTTCAGAAATAAAAAATGCAGATTTAAAGTTCCCCAAAACAGTAAACAAGGAATGTAGTGGACAAATCACCAAGTATGAAACAATACTGTAAACTACAGCAAACTGATACAGCATGGTAAAAGCAACAGACAGATAATTTCTTAAATCCATGTATTCGAAGATAGAGAGACTTCCTTGCTTCCAAGAAAAATGAATCTCAGAAAAGTTATTGGGTTCGTAATTCTACAAGCTAAGCCAACTTTTGGTGTGTACAAATATCATGCTGTTTCATCATTTCAGCCACCGATTCCACAATATTGGTGTTCAACACTTGGTTAGTGTTAAAGATGTAATGACATATACTTCTCTTCAACTTTAGAACTGGTTCTAGATGAATTTAGAACTCCAAGTGCCTTTCTATATTGTATTTTCTACATTCCCGTGCATACTCTAATTACATTTCCATTTCTACCTTAATCTTCTCTGCAGAAATGTACCCTGAGCTAACCTCACCCCACCAGGTACACATTACAAACCAGTTTATCAACATCATGCTTAATAGGCATTAGGTAAAATACTTTAGACATGGATGAAGAGGATGAGAACATCCCATATGGCCATAGGCATTTCTGTGCTACAATTTAGAGTAGAGATAAACCAAATATAGCACATTTTAGGCATGTGGGGCCTGGTGGACCATCTTTTCATTCTCTTGTTCATTATAAAGATTCAAGTGCCACATGCATTCAAGCCNTATTTTTTCTTCAAAAATAATTCCTAATCTATTTTATATCCTATTTTACCCCTTATAGCTAGAAAATAATTTTGTTTTTAACTCTAAAACATATTACAACTTACTAAAAAACAAATTATATTCACTTTATTGCTTTTTTACCACTTGAAATGCGTATCAAGCTAGTAATCTGATTAAGTTTTCCACAAGTCTTAATTGCATAGTTTTATGATTTAATAAATTATTACTTATTTAAGGTAAATAGGACAATTGTTTTCATTGTTTAGAGAGGTAAAATAAGACTTCAAGTAGATTATTTATTTATTTGGAATTATTTATGAAAAAAATAGGACTTTTTAATGTTAATCAAGTTTTATAAGGCTTGATAGAAATTTGGTATGTAAAGTTGAACTTTTTGTTAATTTTCCCTTAAGACAACTAAAAAGGCAATGGTGTGTCTAGACAAAATTTCAAATCCAAAACATAGCCCCTATATGAACGTTAAGTAAGTATTTGAAATTTAACATAATTCGATTATCTGACATAAATTGATACAGAATTAGTAAGTTTAAGTTTGCTTTTAACGAATTTGAATAATAAACGAGTGGACCTGTTAGACCCTTCTAATAAATGGATCATATTCGAGTGAATTGACTTAAATTGTTTGCAATCCACTATATAAAAATTCCCCCAAAAAACAACTAGGCCCCAATTTTTTTTTTTTTCAAATGGTGGATGGTTTGGTTCATGCTTTGGTTTGTGAACATGTTGTTCTTTATACTTAACTCTCTCTCTGGAGAACATGTTTTTTGAGCAGCAACTTTTCTAGCATCCAAACCACACATCAGGGACCCACTGCAAAAGCCCTCAACTTAAACATCCCTATTTGCTATGCCCTGCATAAACTTTACCATAAACTCCATCAGTAGCTGCCTGCAGTTCAAGTTTGCATTCAGGGAGTAACAAGAATGCGAAAAAATGGCAACCAATAACACAGCCATTTAGATTTTTAGGCAACTAAGATGGACACTGATAAAACTCCGAACAATTCACCATTACCATGAGCAAAATCCCGAATGCCAACTTTATTTGAATACACTGCTCTGAAAAAGATAGCACAGTCAATGGCTACTGATACATCCGTTCAGATTACAATGAAACAACTACAGAAATAGATTACATAGGCACCAAAAACAGCTAGACAGCTCAAATGGGCCCCGTTACTCATCTTCTTTGTTCAGAAGATTAATAAGCTTTTGTAGCATTTTTATCTGGCTGGGGCCAGAAGCTACAAAATACAAAACTAGGATACATGTGCCATGCATAGCTAGCTAGACACCCCGAACGTGCCTTCGCAAGTCCTCATTTTCCTTGTTCAAAAGATCAATCCGTGATTGAAGAACGTTGATCATGGCTTGGGCCCTCATCACTTCAATCTTCAATGTCTCCCTCTCCATTGAAACATTAAGGATCTCATTCTCTAAATTGCTGATAAATTTCAAATAGCCAGGAGGCACAGATTTCTCGAGGTTAGAAGAATCAAATGTAGGTGCGTTAACTGGAAGACTTTCTTTGGCTTCAATAGATTCTAGCAAAGGGAATTCCAAGAGTGCTGAGGAAAAATTCGTAGTGGTTGTTTTGACCGTCAGATCCTTACTTGTTGTAGTTGAATCTTCCGAGCCATTTGCATGGCTAGAGTTGGGATCATTATGCTTAGATTTTTTATCTGGGACTAAAGAGATGGGTTCTGGATCCTCTGACCTTTCTCTCTTACAAACAAATGGAAGATTATGGGAGCTACATGGAATTTCGTTATGATAAGGAGCCTTGCGCTGTAGAAATTAGCAAAACAGCATATTTAACACTTTGGGGTTGAAAGTGGACTTGAAGGACCTATAAGGAAAATAGTTTGTGGCACAAAAAACAAACTGGTATTCGTGTGCATATGCGTGCGTGTTGTCTTCAGAAATAAAAAATGCAGATTTAAAGTTCCCCAAAACAGTAAACAAGGAATGTAGTGGACAAATCACCAAGTATGAAACAATACTGTAAACTACAGCAAACTGATACAGCATGGTAAAAGCAACAGACAGATAATTTCTTAAATCCATGTATTCGAAGATAGAGAGACTTCCTTGCTTCCAAGAAAAATGAATCTCAGAAAAGTTATTGGGTTCGTAATTCTACAAGCTAAGCCAACTTTTGGTGTGTACAAATATCATGCTGTTTCATCATTTCAGCCACCGATTCCACAATATTGGTGTTCAACACTTGGTTAGTGTTAAAGATGTAATGACATATACTTCTCTTCAACTTTAGAACTGGTTCTAGATGAATTTAGAACTCCAAGTGCCTTTCTATATTGTATTTTCTACATTCCCGTGCATACTCTAATTACATTTCCATTTCTACCTTAATCTTCTCTGCAGAAATGTACCCTGAGCTAACCTCACCCCACCAGGTACACATTACAAACCAGTTTATCAACATCATGCTTAATAGGCATTAGGTAAAATACTTTAGACATGGATGAAGAGGATGAGAACATCCCATATGGCCATAGGCATTTCTGTGCTACAATTTAGAGTAGAGATAAACCAAATATAGCACATTTTAGGCATGTGGGGCCTGGTGGACCATCTTTTCATTCTCTTGTTCATTATAAAGATTCAAGTGCCACATGCATTCAAGCCCAGCACTTTCCATCCCAGCTCATGGAGTTGATTGGATTAGATAGCCCTTCAGGTAACCAACCAAACCCAGCACATCAAATTCCATTACGATCAACAACTTGGAANAAGAAGAAGAAGAAGAAGGGGGAAGACCTTGAAGCTCCCAGGGCTCAGATTTGTACACATCGATCTCCGAAACAGCTTGGAACCGAAACGGCTTGCCACAAGCCTTCCTCCTCAAATAGTACCTAACCAGCTCCTCATCGGTCGGATGAAACCGAAACCCAGGTGCCAACGACGTCGGCGGCGGCGAAGGAGCGATCGCAACCACTTCGTGACCCATCACGGCACAGACACAGATCGACGATTCCCAAAACAACCCTTTACGAATTAAGGGTGGTTGGTGCAGATCAGACAAAGATGAAGAAGTAAGAAAGAAAAATAAAAGTTAGGTCAGACGATTCATCATCTTTATGGGTATTTGGGTATTGAAACTGTGTTGCCCATCGGTGAAGCAAGCTCAATGGAGGTGAATGCTTGCTTGACACGGAAATCGAAAAATCTGAGAGAGATAGAGATTAGCTGTTTTTTCAATTTCAATTCATTTGTTTAGTTTTTGTTTTTGTTTTTGTTTTTATTTTTTTTTTGTGTTTTTGATTTTCTTTTGTGGAGTTAACTTTATCGAGAAGCCTCTCGTCGTCCTCGCCTCGTGGATAACGACAAGCTCATAATGGAAGGAGAAAATCTAATACTGATCAATTTGGACCGACTGAATTATATATATATTCGTTGTGGTATTGAATTTTTGGTACCGCCATTATAATTTTTATGATTAATATATAATTTTTTAAGGAATTTAATGATTATTTATAAATTTTAAGGATTATTTACGTATTTTAAGGATTATTTACAACTTGGATCATTTACAAATCTAAAAACTTATATCTAAATTCACAAATTTATAAAATTTAACAGTATTGTATCCATTTTTTTTTCCGGTATCGGAGTTGGGTGGGATCTAAGCAATCAGCTCTAATATGGAAAAAAAATTAGAGTGAAATACTTTTTATTATATTTTTTTATTTTTTTTTACACGTCCTTTATTATGCATTCAAGTGAGACATATGGTATATAAGTGGGTCTCTTACTTGTTAATGAGGATGACCCGTTGGCGTCGAGAATAAAATTTAAAAAAAATGTATTGAAAGAAATCTAAATCTAGAAAAATTTATATTTAAGAGATCTTAATTCCTTCAATACTTTTCTTTTGTTTCAATTATTTTCTTGATTGATTTATCTATTATTAATGGCAAAAGAGCTATTTTATATAAAATTTACTTTGCTAAAATGCATAATAGATAATTTATCAAGAAAAAATTAAAAAAAATAAATTGAAAATGATATCACTCTTTGTTTTGATGCCTATCAAAAAAGTCAAAATTACGACAAAAATGTCATAAACCTACAACTCACTCACGATAAAGTTATAATACAATATAATTTTGAATATTTAAAATTATTTTTTAAGAGGGTTGGGATGAATTTTATAATATTGAAATTATCTTAATCTATATATATATATATATATATATAATAATTATTTTAATCTAGATAATATTTTAAACGATTTAACATCGAGAAAGGGTGAGGTACGAGTGACACAAGAAACAAATTATAAATTTTATGTATCGCATAGAGCAATTGTCAACAGATTTTTATTGCAATTATTATTGAGTCCGTTTGAATCACGGCTTGATTTATTTTATCATAATTTTTAAATATAATACCAAAAAAATAATAATTTTTTTTTTAAAATTCGCATAAATTGATGTTAAGATTCCATTTTAAAGTGGCGGTGAAAAAGACAATTAAGATAGGGGGGGTTCACTAGGACTTAATGGGGGGGGCAATGTGATATGATTGCAGGTGATTAAAATGGTAGTGCAAATAGAGTCCACATCATTTGTTAAATTTTCAAACAAAGTGGCATTGTGAGAATCGTGTGGCAAACAACACTCGCACCACTAACGTTGTATGATTAATGATACTAGCAATAATTTTGTGCTTCAAAGCATTATACAATGCTAAAAATTTAATATTAATTTGTATAATATTTATATTTTAAATAATAATGTATTAGTTATTAATTTTCTTTGTTACGTAATTTAAAATTAAAATAAATAGAGAAAAAATAACAGAGACGTAGGAGAGAGAGAGAAGTGTGAATTATTTGATATTGGAGAGTGTGTTAATTGAATTATTTAACATTAATTAGGAGAATGTATAAAAGAGATGATGGTTTTAAACTAGAAAAAAAATTTGAAAGAAATTTTATATTACTAGATCAACTTTCTTAACTGAAATGTTAGATAAATCGTTGAGTATATTATTCTCATCGGGTTTCTAGTGATCCCTAAAACAATCAAGTCGGAGATAAAGAGGATTAACATTCAATTATATGAATTTACGAAAGTCTTCATCAAATTTGCTTCTNGCTCAATGGAGGTGAATGCTTGCTTGACACGGAAATCGAAAAATCTGAGAGAGATAGAGATTAGCTGTTTTTTCAATTTCAATTCATTTGTTTAGTTTTTGTTTTTGTTTTTGTTTTTATTTTTTTTTTGTGTTTTTGATTTTCTTTTGTGGAGTTAACTTTATTGAGAAGCCTCTCGTCGTCCTCGCCTCGTGGATAACGACAAGTTCATAATGGAAGGAGAAAATCTAATACTTATCAATTTGGACCCGACTGAATTATATATATATTCGTTGTGGTATTGAAATTTTGGTACCGCCATTATAATTTTTTTACGGAATTTAATGATTATTTATAAATTTTAAGGGTTATTTACGTATTTTAAGGATTATTTACAACTTGGATCATTTACAAATCTAAAAACTTATATCTAAATTCACAAATTTATAAAATTTAACAGTATTGTATCCNAAAAAAAAAAAAAAAAAATCTCACATGTGCATAGAAACCAAACTATGATTAAGGGACATAATCGAAGTATTGGTCAAAGTTGATGGCATGATTAATCCCTTTCTTTTTTCTTCTTTTCCCTCTGTTTCTGTTTGTGTGGGGACCAAAGGATTCGGAAAATTTAGATAGGCCAAATTTCTATCACAACACACATTTTCATTTGTGTTATGATATATTATTGTTTTTTTAATGTTTAACTGTTAAAAGTGTTTGGGACCGTGCACGCATATATTCCTTTCTCAGTTTGCTTTAATGTAGATCATTTATGCTGTAATTAGAATATTTATGAAAGATAAATTCTTCATAACTTGGACTAAAAGATTGTCAATATTCGAATTCAGAACGTTTGAGATTATAGCTCGTTGTTGTTACCACTTGAAAGTGGTTTAGTATGTGTTTTGAAAACAATTAATATGTCATTTTCTACATCAATCATACTAAATAAATAAGATGAAAAATGGTTTCCTTTTCTTTGTGGATTAAAATTTCATTCTTCTTATTTTTATTTCCTCTGCTTTTTCCTTCTTTCTCAGCGAACGAGAAAGAATTGTATTCTTTATCTTCGATCAATTAATTGTATTTTGTACCATAAAAATTTTAAGAATAATATTTTATATCCTTAAAGATTAAATTTTTTACATTATACCCTCAATAAATTAAAAGTATTTCAATGTGACAATTCTGTTACCTTATGTCGCTCATTCTGTCAACATTAATGAGGTAATTTTTTGACGGAATGAGCAACAAAAAGCTAACAGAAAGATTATATATTATATTATAATATTTTTAATAAATTAAGGGTACAATATAAAAATATTAATTTTTAAATATACAAAATAAGAATTTTTAAACTTTTTAGGATACAAAGTGTGACTCTCACAAAAAGGTGCTTTTACTCTATTTTATTTTCTATTTTTGGGTGAATTGATGAAGAAAACTTTTTAATGCTTTTTCTTTCAACTCAAGCAAAGGTATATAAAATGATTATTCATATACTTGTACTTGCTATTCAACAGTTGTGTAATTAATATGAGTTTATATATTATAGCTTTCCTTTGGATATATTCATCTCTAGATACTGAATAAGACTATGATATTATATAATTATTTTTTGTAAAAAAGATCAATTTTAATATATTTTTTTTATTGAATTCTCTTGCTAACGGATTACTCACCATGCATTCAAGTTAGACTAACTGCATACAAGCAGACGTTTTTACTTATTAATGATTATGATCCTCCAAATAATAGCGTCACGAATACTTTTTGCAGTAGCCATGCGGCGGTATTGAACAGGAGCAATGTTACATGGACTTAAAAAGTAGACTTAAAAATTAGACTTAATAATTTTAACCATTGATTTCACTGTGGGTCTCAGCATTTATTAGGATCCACTATCCATTCAATGGTTGAGATTATCAAGTCTAAGTTTTAAGTCTACTTTTTAAGTCCATGTAGCATTACTCATTGAACAGTCATAGAAAAAGGGGGGCCGCAAGAAGTATTTATTGAAAAGATTGACCGCAATAGATTAGGTTCTGATTATGGCTCTACAACATTACTCGTAAAAATTTTTAATGAATGGCAACCATCAATCACTTTATCAAATTTATGTTTTTTTTTGAAAAAGACAATTTGTATCTTTCACAAATTAATTATGTAATAATTTTTTGTTAAATAAACATACCACGTAACAGTATCACGTTACGTAATAAAAGTATTCAATATTTTCTGGAAAATGACATATGACATGTCCATGTGATATACTCCCATTTGTGTGGATGAAATAAAAGCTATTGCGTTTCAAGGAAGGATTACAAGTAAAGCAATCGATTACCCGTCGGCTACGAAAGCCTCTTACTTATAGCACACGGCAATTGAAATCCACAGCTTCTCAATCTCATTGTCCTGTCCCCAATCTCATTGCTCTCTCTCTCTCTCTCAAGTCCACTTCACAATTCCACAGAAAGAAAAAGAAAAAAAAAAGAAAAAGACTTCCTCTTTCTGTAGCAGCAAACCATCTTTGGTTCCACACTCTAGGTAGTTTCGTTTTCTTCTTTTTCTTCTTTTTCTTTAGGTCAGATGACCAAATACATCATTACCATTTTGTCTCTTTCGATACATTGTATTACCAGAGGAGCACAATTCCGTTTTACATATAAAACGACGTCTTTTAACACATAAAATGGCGTCGTTTTGTGTTTAAAATAACATTATTTTAGAAATAAACATTCTTTATTATATAACAGAGATTCTAGATCCATTATCGGAGATTAAATGTGCAAAAATACCTACTATTTGTTAATCTTTAGATAGATTTAAATATTAGAGAGATGCATTTAGTTAGAAAAAAATACGAT